CACAACTACTTTCTCTTTGCGTTAGTCGGGCAATAATGCTAAAACGAACAAGAGCCCATATCGAACCGCCACTTTCCTTATCTGCCCTCGGAACCGCCGGTTCCTTCGCGCAGCAGTTCGGGAGCGCAGTGCTGTCATGTGTCCATGTCTTCGTGTCACCCAGGGCTTTATATCTTTAATCAATCGTCGAGTCCATGAAGCATTGGTCGTGTTGTCCCAATCGCTCTGCCATTTTTAAATGATTTTTCCCGGGTCGTCTCTTTTGTTGTGTCATCCCCTCTTGCTTGGTGTAATACAATTCTTTCCAGGGCCAGAATGTGTATTGGAATAAGTACTGCTAGAACCAATGATGCCTCTGCAGAAACTGTTCTGTATGCGCATACAATTCGCAGCGCCATTTTCCTTTGCGTCCTGACGAGTTTGGTCTTATTATATTTACTCTGTGCTGCTTCTGCCCATATAGGTGCAGCATAGAGTAATATATTCTGCATTACAGAGCTCAGTATTTTCCTCTTTCCTTGGCTGGGGCCTCCAATATTTGGCATCAGTCTGCTGAGTGCGCCAGTTGTCCTTTCTGCCTTTTCGGTTACCATATTAACGTGGTGTGCAAAAGTGAGTCTCTCATCTATTACCACCCCTAGATAATTGACTGCTTTGACCGTTTTCACTACAGTGTCTTGAATTTTGAAAAGGACAAGTTTAGGTTTTCCTGGCAAAAGAACGGCCTCCGTTTTGTGCTGTGCCAGGGTTAGAGAGTTTTATGTTATCCATGCGTTCACTATACGCAGGGTGGCATTTCCGTTGAACGCGAGTTCAGTCGTTTTTCCGGTGACTACAATAGCTACGTCATCTGCGAACGCGACGAGTGTTGTTAATAAGGTAACGTGCTATACCTCTTCCCTCCAACTCCCTCATTATTGCGGACCAAGACGCACTGTGGAATGTGTTTTTTAGGTCCAGGAGTATTAATGCACTCAGCAGGCCTTAGTCGTTAGCCTTCCTTGCTGTACTGAGAACAGTGTCGATAGCCTCATGCGTCGATTTTTGTTGTCTGAAGCCATACTGCCTGTCGCTCATGTTTCCTGTTCTGTAAATTTCCTCTGTTAGTCTCCCTAGTACCACGTGCTCGTACAGTTTGCCGAGAGTATCCAGCAGGCATATGGGTCTATAGCTTTTGAGCCCCGGTTTAGGTATTAATAGAACTCTGGCCTTTTTCCAGGTACGTGGGAAGGTACCTCGCTTTAATAATGTTTCTAAGGTACGCTTCGTGTACTCCAAGTCCACGTCAACCAGCATTTTCACTGCTTCCGGCGGTATTCCATCTTGTCCTGGTGCTTTGCCTTCTTTTAATTTCTTTGCGGCGTTTCGGAGATCGCTCTCTGTCAGGGCTGGAATTTCTTTGTTGTCCTTTTCGATGTTAAATATTTTCTTGGTGTGTCGTGGAAAGAGACTGTTGATGATAACCAATCTTCTTTCTAAAGGCAAATTTACTCTGGGCTCATTTACGCGCAATGTTTTGATAGCTATTCTATAGCCGTCGCCCCACACACTTGTTTCAACATTCTGGCATAGTTGGAGCCAACACTTGCGTTTTTCTAGAGCAATTCTTTTGCAGAGGGTCTTTTTGAATTGTTTATAGACACTATCAGGTCTCGGTTCGCTCGGGGAATTTGTTATTTTCTGCCTTTGATGTTTCCTTCTTGCGGCAAGGACTTCCTTTCTTAGTGAGAATTCAGGTCCCCACAATGGAGGATCTATTTTGTTGACTCTTGGAACGATCTTGCAGGTTTTGCATGCTTTCTGTAGACGTTTCATGCATTCTGTGGGTGTATAGGTGGGTCTTTCGGGAGCACTGTCTTGTAGAGCACGTCGTAATATCATTTTGTCAAGTTTGGTAGCCGGAGAGGGGGTACTCCGCGGTTCTGTAGATATCAGTGTTTCCGATATTTTGAAGGTTATATACCTATGGTCGCTAGCTGTTTCTTCATCTAGGACTTTCCACTCTGAAATGCGCTTTGTTAGGTTGTCAGAACAAAGTGATATCGATGAATGATGTTTGCGTGCCTCTTACAAATACCGGCTGTGTTCCCGTGTTCATAACCGTTATATTAAGTGCTGCTGTAAATTTCTGTAATCATTTTTCCCCTAGGGTTTTCTTTTGGAGATCCCCAGTCCGCGGACTTCGCGTTGAAGTCGCCAGCCACTATTATATTAGTGCCTTTCCTTCGAAATTCTAATTTGAGCGCGTCCAGAAATTCAGAAAATATACAGCCCTTCCACGTTGACCCATACAAATCCCTCGCCATTTCCATACTCCGTGACTCTAATCGAGGGATCTGTTACTATGATGCCCGGGTCTGAGTTCCGATCAAGGTACCACCATTTATTTGTTGGCATATTTTTCTTGGGCTCGCTTATGAGTATTAGGTCGAATTTTAATCCGCTTATCGCTTCCATTAATAGGTCATGGGCCAATCTACATCTATTGACATTTATTTGTCGAACGTTAATCATCGTTGAGCGTTACTTGCCTGTCTGAGAGCCTTGCCGAATGACCTGCATACTCCAGTGCCTGCCCTGTGGTCTTCCTTGCAAAGAGGACAATAAGCTGGGTTCTTGCTTTCATTAGCTATGTGTCTCTCGTGTTCGCAGTTATAGCATTTGTTTCTTCTGTTTTCGCCGCGGCAGTTAGTTGCAATATGTCCATAACTCCAGCAGCGATGACACCTCCGGGCATCCAATCTTCTGCTAACAAAGCTGTACACCATTCGTAGCTTTATTCTTCCTATTTTACAGAGGTGCTGTGCAGTTGCTTCGTTGGCACTACTACTACT